CTGTACCCATTCCCATCCCCATTCCCATGTACCCATTCCCATTCCCAGTTTCCCTATTCCCATGTACCCGTTCCCATTCCCAGTTTCCCCATTCCCATRTACCTGTTCCCACTTTCCCTCATTCCCCTGTTCCCATTCCCATCCCCATTCCCATGTACCCGTTCCCAGTTTCCCCATTCCCATGTACACGTTCCCAGTTTCCCCATTCCCATGTACCCGTTCCCACTTTTCCTCATTCCCCTGTACCCATTCCCATCCCCATTCCCCCTCCAGAGTCCCTGGCAGCCCCTGGCCGTGCCGGGCACCCACGGGCCCCTGTCCCTGCCCCACAGGTGAAGAGTTACTGGCTGGGTCCCAACTACCTGAAGGAGGGTCCGGAGGGGAACGACATCCGCCGCACCAACGTGCCCGACATCCGCGTCAGCTACCGCTTCGAGACGCTGTGCCAGGAGCTGACGCTCATCACGCAGGCGGTGCAGAGCGCCGAGCTGGAGCCCATCCAGGAGGAGGATGTGCTCACCCTCTCTCTGGGGACCCACTGACAGCCCACATCCCCCCCGAGCCCTCGGGGCTCCGCCAGCRTCCCCCCGCCCGCTACCTCCTGCCCCAACCAGGGGCTGCTCCTGCTGCTGTCCTGGTGCCACCGGTGCCACTGCAGGGGATGGAGTTTGTGGGGTCCTCTCCGTTTCATCTTGTTTTGATTATTTTATGGGTGTTTTTTTGGTCTTTTTCTGTTGTTTTTAACTGCTGTCTCCTTGCCGGGTTGGGCCCTGCTGGGTTTGATGGCACTGGAGGTGACCCGGGGGAGGGCACGGCCGGGGGATCCTGGATTTACGGCCCAGGTTGGGGACATGGTGACAGTTTGGGGTCCTGTCTGCTGGTGTGGTGAGAGTGTGGGAGTCCCAGCCCAGCCCCAGGCTGATGCTCCTCAACCCCCAGCCCCCTCTCGATCTGCTCTCTGCCCGTGGGGACAATCCCAGGGAGGTCTCTGCTGTCGCTGGGGACASGGTGGCCCAGAGGACAGGGGGGACAGTGCTCGGTGGGGGATGCTYCATCCTCATCRCCACAGGGAGGAAGGCAAGGGGTGGGATGGGGAATGTTTCACCCTCACCACCGCGGGGATGAAGGGAAAGGGGACCAGGTGACATTGTCCCTGTCCCCAGCACTCCCAGGAGATCTTGGTTAGTGGCCCAGATCGGGCTGGACCAGGCTTCTCCCATCCCAGTCGGGCATCACCCCCTCTGTCCCTGCAGCCCCATCCCAGTCCTGATCACCTCATCTGGAGCCGGCATTGCCAAGAAAACCTTACGGCGATTATAAAAACAACAAACAGAAACTTTTAAAACAAAAAAACCCTAACCGAGCATGAAAAATAAAAGTATTTAAGTAAAACACTGCAATTGAAGTGGGGGGAGGGAGGGAGCGCGGCCCCAGAGGGAAACTGAGGCACRGAGGGGGGGCGTGYGTCCCCTCATGGTTTGGGTTTGGGGGTCCCCGAGGCGATGYGGGAGGGTCAGGGGACGGATCGCGAGCAGCGGTGGCAGCGCTGGCCGGACGCCCGGACACTGAGCCTGCCCCCGGTGACGCCACGGGGAGGGGCGAGGAGAGGGGAGGGTCCTGTCCCG